GGGCCGCAGAGCACGCGCTGCAGCTTTTGGGGCACGGAGCCGCAGACGTTGAAGAGACTGTAGAAGTGGGGCAGGTGGTATAGCGAGAAGGCCGAGGTGCCCTGGCAGAAGAAAGTGCTGTTGTCAATGAACCGCAGCTGCAGCAGATCGGGGCCCAGGTTCAGCTGTCGCAGCAGGGTCCCCGAGGCCAGGTTCCACTCCTTCAGCCAGCCCTCGCGGCCGGCCGTGAACAGGGTGTAGGTCTCCGGCCGACTGCTGACGCACACCACGGACGAAGGATGCGCCTTGAAGCTGTGCAGGAAGTCACTGCTCTCCAAACCCCAAGCGTGGACCTCTCCGTTCTTGCTCCCTGCGTAGAGGGTGTTCTGGGAAACGCAGCTGTAGGAGCAGGTCAGGGAGGAGCCGCTGGTTAGCGAGCTGAAGGTCTTCACTTCTCGAAGCTCGCCTTGCCCCTCGTGGGCAAAGACCCTCACCACACTCTCACACAGAGCCACCAGGAAGCCCAGGGAGGCGATCAGGGACAAGTCCTGCACAAGCTCGGGACCGCGCATAGCCACTTTCTGAATCATCTGGAGGCCCTTGCCATTTGCTAAGACAAACCAGGTAACCACCGCTCCCAAAGTTCCAGAAAACAGCACCCCGGTGTCCGAGTCATAGCAAAGACAGCTGATGGAGAAACGGCAAGGCACTGTGGCCAGAGTGGCGAACTCCTGATGGTGGTCGCCCAAAAACCGCAGGCGCATGTCGTCGCAGTAAGCTATTAACACCTGATGGGACTTCACGTGGACCATTGATTTAATGAGCGGCACTTCAGCCGCCATGGGAAATTTCAGCTTCCTGACTGTTGTCCTTTCTGCATTTTTTTCCTGTATCCATAGTATTGTCTAGAAGAAAGTGGGAAACAGAAGTCTGGTCACAGAGCAGGAGCAGAGCATCTCCTGGGAGAGAGCTGTAAGGAAAATGGCTATCTCCTCTTGTAGGCAAAGAAAGGATTTGGTTTGGGGGATTTCTAGTACTAAGTACTGGATTTATGATAGAAGCTGGGTCCAAGGCCCTTTTGTATTTATACTGAGAACTATCAGTATAAAAGGGTTGCTAAACTCCGTCAAACTGCAGCATGGAGCCAGGTATTAAAATGAACTAATTTTCAGCACTCAGGAAGCAGAGGCAGGGGGATCTCTGTGAGTTTGAGACCAGCCTGGTCTACAAGGGCTAGTTCCAGGACAGCCTCCAAAGCCACAGAGAAACCCTGCCTTGATCCCCCCCCCCCCCGAAAAAAGAGAACTAATTTTCCAGGTGTGGTGGCACAGGCCTGCAATCCCAGCACCCAGGATGCTGAGGTGGACAACTTGGACTACATAGTGAGTTTGAAGCCAGCCTCAAATACACAGGAAGACCCTGTCTCAATGAATGAATGAGTGAATATGTAACATGCCACTTTTCAGAGGCATCCCTCCCACTCCGAAACAAGGACATTTTAGGTGTGGAACATATCAATTGCATTCTGAAGGAAGAAGCAAAAGTGAAGTGAAGTAGCTATACTTGTATCTGTTTTTCATACAGTTCCAACCAGTTTAAGGCGACAAAATAGTTGGCGTCCATAGAGTAAAAGCACACAAAAGGCTTTTTCTGTAAATTATAAGATTCCTGGTATAGGATCTGGGGCCGGTCACTCAGGAGAGTCACATGATAACCGTTGTCATCTTGAATCTGAAAGAGAAAAGTGACAGGTGCTAAGAAGTAGGAACAGACACTTACCCATTAAAAAACCAAGGAGGGATTAGTGAGCACTGGTTTGGTTTAGTTGTGCCTAACTGGTACTGTTCGTCCTACCACTAGAAGGCATTATTAGGGAGCCACCTCTCCTTTAGCCTCAAGCTACAACAGACTCCTCCTCCTGGGCTCTTTTTTTTTTTTAAGAAAAAAATTTATGGAGGCTGGAGAGATAGCTCAAAGGTTAAGAGTACTGGCTGCTCTTCCAGAGGACCCAGGTTCGATTCCCAGCACCTACATGGCAGCTCACAACTATCTGGGACCCCAGTTCCAGAGGATCAGACATACACGAAGGTAAAAACATCAATGCATATAAAATAAAAAATAGTTTAAAGAAAAAAATTACGGAATGTTTCACGAATTCTGTGTCATCCTTGAGCTGGGGCTATGATAATCATCTCTGTGTCATCGTTCCAATTATAGTATATGTGTTGCCAAAGAAAGTGCTTCCTGGATTTTCTTAACTAAGCTTCCAAAAGAAAATTAAGCCCCATGTCCCCTCATGGAATACAAGGGTTTCTCTAGTTATGTAGCCTGGAGAACTGAGAGGCAGCTGCTCAAACATCTCCTGTTTGCATGGTTCAGATGAGAAAGCCTAGTCGATTCTTTTCATGGTTCTGCTTGTTTTTAATTTTTCAATACTAAGGACTGGATCTAGAGCTCCCTGCATGCTAGTCAGGGGCTTTACCACTGAGCCACGTCTCTAGCCCCTCACTTGTGAATTCTAGACAAGTGCTCTATGAGTCAGCCATGCGATTTATTTTAAAAATATTTTTGCCCACCTCCCCCTCTCCGAGCTCCCTGTGGCCCCCAGACCCTTCCTGCCACCAAACCCCAAAGAGGGACGTGGAGGTAGAACAAAGCAGCCAGTTCATCAGGGTTCATCAGGGTCTTGCCCCTACACCCTCCGGTTGACAGGAGAAGGAGAGACCCCACCGATACCCACTGGAACAAGAGATGGGAAGACAACAGCTTAAGGACATATCCAGCAACAGAAAGATTTATATGACACCACCAGAGTCTAGGGACTCTACACCAGCAAGACCTGAACATCACAATGCAGATGAAGCAGAAGAGATTGACCTTAAAAACATCGTCATGAAAATGATAGAGGGCCTCAAAGAGGACATGAGAAAAATCCCTTAAAGAAATGGAAGAAAACAATCGAAAAAATGCAAGAAATCTCTTAAGGAAAGCCAAGAAAATACAATCAAACAGCTGAAGGAAACAATTCAGACAGTTCAAGACCTGAAAACTGAAATAGAGACAATAAAGAAAACACCAACTGTGGGAATGCTGGAAATAGAAAAGCTGAGTAAACAATCAGAATCTACAGATGCAAGCATAACCAACAGAATACAAGAGATGGAAGAGAGAATCTCAGGAATTGAAGACACACTAGCGGAAATAGATTCATCAACCAAAGAAAATGTTAAGTCCAACAAATCCTTAACACAAAATATCCAGGAAATATGGGACACCATGAAAAGACCAAACCTAAGGATAATAGATATAGAAGGTGAAGAAACTCAGCTCAAAGGTGCAGAAAACATATTCAACAAAATCATAGAAGAAAATGTTCCCAACCTGAAGAAGGACATGCCTGTGAAAGTATGTAAGGGGCCGTGGACCCAAAACTATTCGGCTTAAAGCCCACCTTTGTAAGCCTTTTAATGACCTTTAAGTTTGCAGCTTAAAACCAGCTCTGTGAGCCTTCTGTAACCTGTAATTAGATGGTTCGGCCACACAGAACTGCTAATTGCTTCTGTTCCGAGAAAGGGCCTGGGGCTTTCCTGTTTGCTGGAAGATCACAAGATGTTCCAGTTGATAAGAAGAATGCTCCGGCCCCAGCATACACCAAATGTTCCTTCCTGTTATCTCCCCGCTTACCCAATTTCCTTGGTGAAGGG